AAAAGAAAAAGTTTAGTTCTGACACATCCACCATATTATCCTGATTTAGTCCTTACCAGACTACCACCTTTTTTAGTCACTTATTAAAAAATTTGAGTGGTGTTTTTTAGTCAAAACCTAGTGATTTCTATTATTGAGGCATTGAACAGTAGCTCATTGGCAGGAGATTTTGAAGTGGAATACACTATTGTCGGATTCATCAGAACTATTAATAAGTATTAAAATAAATTATAAAAGCATTAACAAATTTATGCAACAACCTTATATATATATATATTTTTTTTTTTCTGTTACACAGTGCAGAAACACTATTGTCTATTTCCCCTTTGTCCTTATTTTAGGTTAGGTACTTTTTAGATTGGTCACCGTTTTGACCATTTCCAGTAGCCCTTAGCACAAGGAAGCAATCGGTAGTCTTATCCTCCTGATTTTTTCCCCAAAGTTAACCGTCATCATTTTACTGTTCTATCCCCAAGAATATGTATCCATGTTATACGCATGTATAATCTCGAAGACAGTCAGATAAACACATTTTGGTTATTAATAAACCTGCCAATGTATGGACCTTTGTCTTCTTCAGAGTTTTAATTGCCTTAAGGCATTTATCTGTCTGACTTCAAGACTGCACACCTGCACAACTTGGACATGTACTCTTGGGAGCAGAAAATCTTACTTATTATAAAACGCAGATTGTGTGTGTGTGTGTCTGTACGTTTATATATTGGATCGGATTTCCTACATTTTTCAACCGATTTCAACAAAATTTCACAGGACTACGTAAAATTACGTTGCGATGGTTCTGATAGCGTTAAAAATTGGAAAAACAATTGTTTTTGCATGAAATCAATTTGAAAACACAATTAAGAGGCATCACGAGAATGAAAGGGGGACAACTCATATCGAGTTATACTTATTATAAAACCCAGGTTGTTTGTGTGTGTGTTCATTTATATATGGGATCAGATTTCCTACATTTTTCAACTGATTTCAACAAAACTTCACAGGACTACGTAAAATTACTTCTTTTTTTTGGCAGGTAGTGTTTCTTATTGTCTTGCACACTTTTTCTTTTATTTTTACATTCAGAATGCTTTAAAATTCCATTTACAAGACAATTGTTTATAATAAAATTCTATTCAATCGGTAGACTCATAACGATTGAAAACAATGTTTTTGTTTGAGTTTGGGTAAAAAAAAAAAAATAAAAATAAAACTAATTAAGACATGTGTGTCCGTCAACCTTAAACAATAATCTTTGTCAATTTTATTTTTCAGTCATTATGATGGCCGATACTTGATCTATCTCTTACAGTTACATCCCTGGGTAACGCCGGGCTCTACTGCTAGTATATATATATATATATATGTTGATTAAAATTAATTTATATTATTTAAATTTGGAATATTGTCCTACATGGAAATGCAGAAACTATAACTTAGAGCCTTAAATCAAATGGAACAATAGCCTAATAGCTTAAAGATTAGTTTATGAATTTGGTGGCATCATCATTGTAAGTTCAATCACTGGCCAGCACAGTACAAACTTACACTCAGTAGAAACAATAACTGCACAGTACTAAATACAAACAAGATGAGATATCCATAGACACAGAGACAGCAGAACAATCAGCCCGCACAGATTAATAAAGGGTTCATTTCAAAATTCCCTGAAGTTTATCTGAATTGTCAGATACCTGAAGAAAGCTAGAGGGCCCAATTGCCAAAATGTTGTGAATAATGATAACTCATGACAGAAATTCAAACACAAATTATTTAAAATTTACTTTAATTATAAGGGAAGAGTGCTCAGTATTGGAGACAGAGCATTTAGAGAGATAGACAATTTAGACATAAGGCTCAACACTGTATGGTAACTCTCAGTTTTTTGTCTCAATGTGATCTTCAAACAAAGAATCAACACTTCATGGTCTGAAGATAAAAGAGAATGGTGAAACTGACAGTCACCATGTGGTGTTTATCGCAATGTCCACACCGTCTTGTTCTCTCTCTCTCTCATATATATATATATATAAAACCCATCTGTTATGCTTAACATAACTAACAAGATACTTTTGCTTAATTTTTTATTATGTTTTTCTTGTATACATATAAGTGTCTTCTTTTCTGGACATTATGATTGTTAAAATTGGCCAAAAGATTTTTGGTTGAGTGCTTTCAGCTAAACTGTTAGCCATTTTACAATGATTATTTTTGCTATAATACTATAATAAATGATGCGTAAGTGTTATGGTATACAAGTTGCTGTAAGTGGACATATTCTTCATTTCCAAATACAGCCAATACATTGTGACCATGTTCCTAATTAATGTTATTATGAATTGGTTTTTTTGTCTTTTTACAAGAAGAGATTCCATTAATTTTAAACAGTTTTTGTGAGAGGTACAAATCAAATTTGTATGCGCAATGAGTATGTTGCTTATTGAGATTGGTGTAATTCTATGTTGGTTTAAATACTGGAGAGATACAGCATTAGTCATTTTGACAGGCGGGTGGCAGTGTGTCCAACATAATTATTTATGAACTTGTTTTCGTCAGGAAGACAGTTACTAATGAGGTATCTAAATTCATAAATAATGTTGGTCTAGTATTACTTTGAATTTGTTGTTGAGATGTTATTTCTGATAACATTCCTCATAATATCCTCTACCTTTATAAGAGTCAGATCAGGGCCAAAATGGAGTGCTGTTGCCATATTTAGGTGGGAGCTGCTCAGTCCTTATTTTTCAGTTTTGATAGAGTTCAAAAGCATCTCTGAGTCCTTGTTGGAGAAGAATTATTTTCCACCCTTCAACCTTTCTCTCACAGGCAGGATGTGGTGAGTCTCTTACTGCTCTATCACTACTTCCATGGAAAGTGCTCAGATGAACTATATTCCTTGGTTCTGTGAGGTCTAACCTTCACAGCTAGAACCTGTCATGCCACTTACATAGTAGCAAACCACCCACATTCCCTCTGTATTCTATCAGTAAGAAGTAAGTTCCACTCAAACAGCTTCTTTCCATGAACCAATGCCTAGTGGAGCAGACTTCCAAGAGGATGGTTCTTCAATCACTACAATCTTAACTTGTTCAAATTTAGAGTTAACTGTTATCTTCCCCTCCTATCTATATAAACTACCTCTTAACATAACACTCTACCTCGAAGGTCCCCTGGGTCTTGTACAGGATGAACCTTACTGTATATAAAAAAAAAATCTTGCTCAAATACTCATTTGGTGAATGTGTATCAATAAGTAAACATCTTTGTTTGAATTTTTGAAATTATTATATGCATTTTCATTCATATAAGTATATTGATCAAGGTTTTGGTTGTTGTACACTCTGTTGAATAGAATTTGGTTTAAAAATTTGAAAAGGTTATTGAGCATGACACAGACTAAGAAGGTTGGGAGCTCATCTGAAACCTTGTGATTATAATGACCAAAATGAGTATACTAATCAATATAGAAAGCTATATAATAAAGTAAACATCATTCTGATAATTTACATTTTATTTTGTTCATTGGTACAAAAATTTAGCAGAATGCTACTCTCATTATTTGCATTCAGACTAATTTCATCATCTTTGTTGTTATTATCACATCATTTCAGCCAGTGTCATCTAGCCTTCTTCAGCTAATTGTCAATCAGGGCAAAGGAATTTTTAACAGAATCTTTTATTTAATCTACAGCATCAGATTTTTCTTCTCCTGCTGTCTATGTCTAGGGATATATTATCTTATTCTTATTTAGAACAAGAAGAATCTATCTCCATTGATTAAATAAAGTGTTCAGTTAGATAATTCCCTGAGGTTACTTGCATTGACAAACACCTGAAGAAGGTCAGAAGGCTCAATAGCTGAAACATTGTGATAACAACAAAGATGAGGACAATAGTCTGAATCTAAATAATTTAAGTAATGCTAATTTCTCATCCCAGAATTTCATACAAAAATGTTACTCTCAGTACAGTTTATACAGTCAAACAGAGGTGAATCCAGAATTTTGAGTCAGGGAAGGTCTAAAAATGAACAAATTTAATTAGATTTGAGTCATAGTCTTTCAACAATGAAATTAACAAAATAGTAAATTAAAAAATAAAGAAAATTTTTAAAATTTACCACAAACAATAAATAAAAGTTTATAAAGAATAAGACGGAATATCTTTACTTAGATGAAAAGCAAATTGTAGAAACCAAAATCAAAAGGTGTACTGGAATAGTGAAAGGTACCTTCCAAAAGCTAAACAAAGAAACAGGAAAGTTTCATTAGAAACAAAGAAAAGAGTACTGGTCTGTTATGTAATATCAGTTCTCCAATATAGCAATGAATGTTGGACAATCTCCTTACTGATGAAGAAATTTGAGACAACAGAAATGTTCTTCAGAAGGAGAAGAAATTGTGAAGAACTATGATCACCCATGTCTTGAAGGAACGGGGCTCATAGAAGAAGAAAAAGAATAAAGATCAGTCTTCATGACCAGGTAAAAAAACCTGAATTTTCAATGTTGATTTTCAAGGTATTCATGTAGTTTTGACTTGGAATATAGATGCAATACAATCATTTCACTTATCTTTGGGACTATACATTGATGCATTTTCTATGGTTTATTAACCCTTTGCCAGAAACCAGGAAATATTTTTGAATTGTAAGAATTTTTTTTAGATAATAATGATTTAGTGATAACCCATAGTTGGGGGAATAAAAGGTAGATTCATACCTTTCCCAAGGGTATTTTTGCATAAGTGAACAAACTCAACTGAAATTGGAACCCAGCTCTCTGATTAGCAATTCTGAGCTATTATCCATGACACGACCCATACAGTCAAGCTGTAAAGCACCTGGTATTCCCAAGCAAATACTTACCAAGCTCAACGTTGCTTAACTTTGGTGATTGTATGGGAACAAGTGTTTCAACGTGATGTGATCGTAAGCCTGGATATGTTTTACTTGCTTAGATATTGATACTATATTTTTTGGTTTTGAATGCACATCCAAGT